TAAATTTTTAATTGCTTGTTCTACTTCATAAAGAAAACATTCATAAGTTCTTCCTTCACTTCCTGACAATTCTATTCACTTTTCCTGTTTTTCCCCACATTGTTTTCAAGTTTGAGGTAAATTTTGGGCTAATTCTTTCCACTTAGTCAATTCTGAAGCTTTTTTTTCTAATTCGATAGTATTGCCTTTTATGTATTTAATCATTACTAAATTTTACAAAAATTAAGTTAATAAATGAAAAGTCAAATATTCTTTGTAATTCCGCGAGAGGAGGAAAAATATAAGGAGTGTTATAAATACGGAGGAAAAATTTGACATAATAAACTTTGGTTTAGAAAAAAAAAATTCAGCGAGATATTTAAACATTATAAAGAATTAGTTGAAGACCAAAGAAAAAAATATCAAGAAACCTCCCAAGCCAATAAAGACTTTTTAGAAAAGTTGGTTAAGGAACTAAAAACATCAATTGAAAGTCAAACTGACCCACAAAAAAAAGGTCAAATGAATTGATTTCTAGAGAATTTCAGTTTTAAAAATTACAAGTATACTTACTTAAAGTGAATAGAAAAAGACTCTGGTAGTTGAAAGGTTAAGGATGAAGTTTTTTCCGATTGACAAGAAAGAGAAAAATTATTAGAAAGACATGACATTAAATTTTGTGGCGAAGGTTTAACTCGAGAACAAATTACTTTTAATTACCGAATTCCGGACAACGTAATAATTAAACTCTATAACTTTTTATTCTGCTACAACGGAGTTTGATATGAAGTAACTGATCATAAACAAGTAGAGTGGGATAGAGTAGAAATTACTGCTAATTATAGTTATTATTGAAATGATTATTGATATTGTCTTAATGCTAATGCTAACGGGATAATTCATAATCTTCCAAAATCTCTTGATGAAGTTTGTGCTTGTCCTGATTTTACTCAGGAGGAAGTAAGAGAAAAAACTGTTTTTGTAGTAACAAACTATGAGTTGAAATGAAATTTGTTTAGTGCTTGAGGAGGAAGAAGTAGTAGCTTTTTTGGGGCTCGAAGAGAAGTCTCAGGAACCTACAGTTATAATTCTGACTTCCCTTGATTCAAATTAGGAGAGTGATATCAAGTTCAATGAAATGATGCTAACAGAGAAAGTAGAATATCTGGCAAAATTGCAGAGAACCCCAAACAAGAACACTTGTTTTCTTTAGTCAGTCAAAAATATGACGAAAAAAAAGGATTTGGCAAAGACGATATTAGTAGTATAGAAGCTTGGACAGATATTAGCGTTAATAGTAATGGCGGAACTACAAAAGGAAGTGGGGCAATAGAATTACAAAACTGATTAAATAAACACTATCCTAAAGAAATCCATCACTGCCGCGCTAACCATATCGAAGCCTCTATACAATGGCGAGATAGGAAAATTTTAAAAGGAAATCACTATAACATTAGAAACCTGAAAATCAGAGAAAGTTCTAATCCCTCAGGAACAGTAGTAACTTTTTATCATGGTTCAGAAGCCATTGCTGAAGTTCATGAAAGTATTTTTGTTAAAGTAGGATCAGATCAACATAGTAATGTTATTCTTAACACTATTATTAGCACAGCAGCTGCCGCGGCGATTGGAGCAGCCACGGGAGGAGTAGGGACTGCTTTTGCGGCTGAAGCAAAAATGACTGTTGGAGCGGCAGCAAAAGCGGGGGCAGCAAAATGAGCAGTAGCCGGCGGAATGGGTGCGGCAGCCGGAGGAATTAAAGAAAGGATATTAAATTATAGCGAAAGTACTCGTCAAGAATTCACTATTGATGAATTCCAGCATAAATTTTTAAGAAGTGGGTATACTCCAGTCAAAATAGTTTTAGAACATGACAAAGAAGTAATTAATCGTTATTGGGCCAATAAAACCATCAAAAAAGGAGGAGAAAGCAATACCTATTTCAATGTTGCTAATTTTGGAGGCTTAATGGATGAAGAAGGATTTGTAAAGTTTCATTTTCATACTTTAAATATGCACAGTATGGTTGAAAGCGAGGAAAGTAAGAGATGATTTAAAGATAACTTACAAGTCGGGGTGCAGTTGATTGATGGAGACCCTGTTCCTTGATATCAAACTAAATTGCCGAGAAGTGATATTCAAAGCATGGGTTCTACTACTTCTGGGGATGTTGATACTTT